CCCCTCTTTGGAAGTTGTTTTGTTCTGTTGCAGGTACCCCTATGAGGTGATCCCCTCTGACTCATCTGACTTATGGGTACGCCCACCGAATGCACTCTCTCTCTCTCTCTCTCTCTCTCTCTCTCTCTCTCTCTCTCTCTTTTGTGCGGGCTCTTAGTCTCATTGCTTTGGCTACCTTAGGGCTGCCTTCCCCGCGCCGTAGACAATAAAATGCAACGCTGACGGGCTGCGAATTCTGCAAAAATGCGGACTGGTCACCATGCAACTTCCACCTCCGGTACCCCATTTCGAGTGGGCGCCCGCTGCAATAACTCGTGCCACCATGAGAGGGCTGCAGCCTAGCGTTGCCTTTAGAGCCGCGAATCGGGTTACGAGTCAACTTGCCATCCTGTCTCCGCCCCCCTCTTTCCGGCCAGGCCCTGTTGCGGCCTACGGTCTGTGATCCCCGCCGTAGGTGCGATAACCGCACTGTGGCGATTCCAGTTTATGGGAATCCACGGCTGCAACGACGGTGGACGTGTGGAAAGAAGGCCGCGAAGAGTTCCCGTTCCCCAGACCAGTCTGGTGATTGTGTTTTGTGTTTTCTCTTCCAATGGTTGGTGACGAGGGCGGGCGCGTATCTATGGTTGTGGAGGTGATGGTTCCCGGAGATGGCCCTATGGCAGAGGCTCTGTCTGGGAGGGGCCCGCGATGATCCCGTTGTAGTGATGACAGGCGTCAGGCTGACGAGAAGACGGACAGATGGCCGCCGCTTAGGCGCGGGCTTAGGCGCGGGGAAGGAGCAGCTGCGGGTGCGTGCGACGTCTGCTGGTGTGCGACGGCTGAGATGCGAGTGCGCGGACTTAGCGACGTCGTTGTGCATTCGTGGGACGGCGGCATTCGTCTGGACCGATTGAAACGGGCGCGCCAGTCGAAATCTTTTGGATTGTCCTGGGCCTACCTCTCCCTTCTCTCTCTCTCTCTCTCTCTCTCTCTCTCTCTCGCTCGCTCGTTCGCACCTCCCTCTTTCTCTCTCCGTCTGTCTCTGAGGTGATTTATGATATTTTGTCTACAAAAAGCTGATTGCGAATTTAAACAGATGACAGCTGATTGCGCTTCTGGCTCATCGGCGATCCGGCTAAGCAGTGGGAGGTTCGCTATCGCTCTCAAGAGAGGATGCGATTTGTCGTCGTCTTGGGGTGTTGAACTGCTCGACCTCGGTCTTCAGGTGCGCGCATGTATCCATCACCATTCGGATTCGATTTACTGCCCTCGCCTGCCCCCTCCTCACCTCTCTCCCGTCTCCTTTCCTCCCTTGTTCTTACCAGTCCTCTCTATTGCTCTCTTCGCCGTTTTCCGTCAGCGATGCATACCACGGCCGTGAAGGTGCTGCGCGCTGAGCGTCGAGGGTTTTCCCCGTCGTCTATTACCGCGTGTACATCGTTTCACCTCCCTCGTCTTTTCCTCTACCCTGTACTACCTGAACCTTGTTGCATCTTGGAGTACCTTTCTTGTTTTCTGTCCTACACGCTGTCGATTTCTGCGTACGTTGCACGGTCGAAGTCTCTCTCTTCTTTTCTCTTTCATGGCGATCTACGTGTCCAGAGCACGTGGATGTGATGATTGGACACTCCTTGCCCTCGCTTCCTTCCCCCCTCCCCGCCCCCTTTTTCGCTCCGTTCGGGGCCCCCCCCCCCCCCCCCCCCCCCCCCCCCCCCCCCCCCCCCCCCCCCCCCCCCCCCCCCCCCCCCCCATCGCGGGCCCCCCCCCCCCCCCCCCCTTCCCCACCTCCCTCTATCTCTGGAAAATTTGCTTCTCATTGATAACGCGTATGTCTCGTGCTCTCGGATGAGAATCCATATTGTCTACACAGTCAGTGTCATCGTCCCGATCTCATGGTCCCAATCTTATGAAGTCCCAATCTCGTCAAGTCCCAATCACTGAGTCTTCTTTCGCAGCTTCTCTATCTTGCTGATTCTGTGCTTTCCTCGTTATCATCCTGAATTCCAAACTGTCTACATAGGCACGATCATAGATCATCGTGCCTATGTAGACAGAATGAACTCGGGAGATGATGGGGAAAGCACAGAATCAGCATGATAGAGAAGCTATGGCCCCCTGCGGGACATCCGTTCAAATTGGAACGATACGGAGAAAGTAGATTAGCATGGCCCCTGCACAAGGTTGGCACTATCCTCGTGCCGATCTCATGGAGTGCCCACAACATCTATGATGTAGTGTCTATCTGTCATGGAGTGCCAATCTTTCATAGAGTGCCAATCTCTTATGGAGTCCCAATCTCTGAGTCTTTTTTTTTCATTGCTTGTCTATCTTGCCGATTCGGCCTTTTCCATATCGTCTCTCTGTTCATGCGGCTCCGCGTATTTGCACGAGCACACCTTTCTCCGCGTCTCCGTGTGTGCACGCCTACCTTCACCACCTGGAGATGTAGCGTACAAGGTTCTTTCCAGATTGATTGATTGATTGCATGGATCATCAGGGTCCCAGGTTGAAGCCAGCCGCAAGCAAACCCGTGGGCACAGAGGAATCCTTTCATAGGTTGGGGAATGAGGAAGCGGGATCAGGACAGGGGCAACAGAAAACGGTCGCTGTCGCTGGGAGCGGGCATATATTGTCACACTGTAAATCAGAGCGCGAAGGCGGAAAAAAGCGAGACAAGGAGAGGAATGCTTGAGAAGATACGCGCACACCTTTCTCCGCGTCTCGTTGTGTGTGCATGATGCCTATCTTCACCAAATGTAGATCTCGCGTCCAAGATTCTTTCCAGATTGATTGGTGTGTTGTGTTGATCGGGATCCAGGTTGAAAACCGATCGCAATCAAGTCGTTAGGCACAGAGGACTGCACCATAGGTTGGGGACTGAAGAAACAGAAAGCGGGATCGGGACAGGGGGTGCAGAAGCGGGCGCTGTAGGCGGGTATGGGCGTATGCATATATGCTTGACAATGTGGGTGTAGATGAATGCGTGACAGTATGGACAAGGTTAATTTTCTCGTGCGCGCGATTATCAGTGTGGGTGTAGAGGTGATGATTGGTGTTTTTTGTTGAGGTTCCCGTCTGGGCAGGCGTCATTCTCTCTGACGTCAGCTTGATTCTGGTCGTCGTGAGGACAGCGATGCAGCTCTACGCGGGTGACACTTTGTTTGTTTTTGTCCTTTTCGTTTTTGTTTCCCTTTTTTTTCCTCGTCTAAACCCCTTTTCTTTGGCCTCCTGAAGATGGAGAAAAAATGTGTGTTAGAGAGTGGTATGAAAGAGGTTTTGGGAGCAATTCCGAGGGAGCAATTCCTAGGGAGCAGTGTCTGTGCTTACGCGAGACACGTGAGGGGAAGGGGGGGGGGGGGGGGGGGGGGNGGGGGAGGGATGGGAAGGGGGTAATAGGGCAAAAAAGCTATGTGGCGGAACACGCGGGCACGCGAGGGTGCATTCCGCGGGCATGGGGGAAGGTAAAGGGGGGGGGAAGGGGGGAGGAGGTAGGGGAGTGACACCGGCGTTCGGGCGCGACGGTTCGCCACACAGTGGCTGGGTCCCGATCGCTTCTGGTTGTGCGAGGTGGGCAGAGTTCCGATCACTGCCGTCGGCGCGCAGTCAATCAATCGATCTCGCGGCACGTAGTTGGTGTCCCAGCGGCGTGGGAGACGCTTAATCTAGTACCGAGAGTGGGTTGTCTATTCTTCGCAGTCTCCTCCCCACCACCTTCGCTCTCCTGGGGGTAGGGAGGGGGGCCGCTCTCACGTTTCACCGAAGCGAAGCGATTTCCTCTGCGAGCGCGCCAAGTTTTCGGCGGGAGTGTTTGGACACACCATACGAACTGCTCGACTGTGTCTTGGCTCGGCGCGCAATCAAGCAATGGATCTCATCGACCTACGGCGTTGAGCATGCGAAGTAGTTCTTGTATCGAGTTAATCAAATCAATTACTCCTCAACTGCTCGATCTGTAGATCGGTGAGCTAATCGATCAGTTAAGCGACCGATCAATCGCTCAATCAAGCTGATGATTGATTGATCGAGAGAAGGATAGATCGTTTGATTGATTGGTCGATTGAATCGGTTAATCGCTCGAGCAATCGATCGCCTTGAATCGGCGACTAACTATAGGAGGATGGGTGCCTGCCATGTGGCATCACGACCACTATGGTACTGGTCCACCTTCCCTTTTCCCTTCCCTCGATCGCCCGATTGATTGATCCGCAGATGCACAAAGCAATTGCTTGATTGATTGATGATCTGTAAAATAGAGAAAAGGGCAGTGGAGAGTATGACGACCGGTATGACGAACTATTATTTTTTCTGTTTTTTTTTTTTTTTTTTTTGGGTCTTGTTTCTGTTTTGGATAGCGGCGGAGAAGTGAAAAACCTCGAAAGTGGTTTGCGTAACCAAACGACGGGAGAGAGGGCCGTCTAGGAATCGCTGCTTCCAGTGACTGTTCATGGGTTCTCCGTCGATTGGCACTGTGAGTTGCCTGATCAGTGCTTGTCTTCAATTCCAATGTGTTATACCGGTACGGGATGATCGCAAACGTTGCCGCGCAGGATAGCTTCCGGAAAATTTTGACACGAAACACGAACAGGCGAACATACTGACACAGACAAAAAGACGAAAAGACAAAGAGGCAAAGAGACAAACAAGCGAACAGATAAACAAGCAAACAGAGCGAACCAAAGTTCCTCCTTCCCTCCCCGTCTCGGGGTCCTTTCCTTGGGCCCCTTGATTGTTCATTGAAAGGGAATTTTTTGGGGGGGTTCTTTCTTATGTCGTTACCGTGGAATATAGACTAGGACCTTTCTCGACTTTTTTTTTTTTAAGACCTGTGTAGGACAAGGATAACCGTTCTTTCTTCTTCTCCTTCTTCTTCTTCTTCTTCTTCTTCTTCTTCTTCTTCTTCTTCAATGCCCTAGCACGTTTTGCTAAAGGCACCAGCGTTCTCAAGAAGCCATGGTTGAGGCTACTTGTCAGCACCTGGTACAATAGGGTAGCAGCACGCGGCCGGAAATCTTTGAGGCAGATGCGGCCTTGAGTAAGGCCCGTATTTTACGGAATAGCCTTGTTTGGTGGGGAATTTTAGTGTAGAATTATTTTATTTTTTTTTCGTCGAAATAATTATTTGCGTGGAAATATGATCCGCCTAGATAATTTCTTGCGTACAAATTGAATTTTTCACGAGGCGGTTACTACCGTAGAAATAGAAAATACATATAGATGGCCGCTTTTTACTCTATTTGCAAAAAAAACTGGTCGAAATTTGCAGATGCGATAGGGACTTTATAGAAATTTGCAGGCTCAGAATAATAAGGACTTTCGTTTTTTTATCTCCTATAGGTTATTTTTTGAAATACGTGCAATTGGACTGGTTGGCATGCTACGACACGGTGTTACCGGGCTGCGCCCGCCTAATTCCCAAAGAGCGGGAAAACTGGCTGCATGTTGGATTTTGAAATTGTACAGGTCATAAGCTGCGATTTAAAAAAATAAATAAATAAAAAAATTTGTACAGGTCACGCGTGGCTTGCATGTAACTGACTGGGTGAGCCACGTAGTAAGAGTAGAGGCTGCGATCCATGCTGCACGAATAAAGCCAATAGAATCAGAGTAGGAAGATAGACTGTGGGAAGCGAACGTTGGAAGGAATCTCGGCGGAAAAGAGCCCCTAGCCTATGCATAGTCACGGTACTATCCACACGTGAAACATGCGGTGAAAGCTGGCCTGAAGGGATAGGCATTGTGTCGACGATTGGAAACTTACGTGGATTGACTATCTGTAGCCCGTTGAGGGGCCGACACGTAACGGATCATTACGGAGTTTGGCATAACGTCTATGCGACAGAGCCGGTCGTAGCCGTAGTCGCTCGTGGAAGTGCCCGTTGGGATGGGAGTACCGTGCTGGCTAGGCTTACAACTCGATGGACAGTATATAGGAGGACAAGGCCGTATTGGTCCTTTATACTCAGTAAGATGGGAGGATTGTCGGCGGGCCGCAAGGCAGGGTCAAGAGGTGCGGCTATGTATTGAAGAGCTTTCGAAGCGTGTACGAAAGGCAGTTGGCCACTGTTTTCACTATTCTTCTTCTTCTTCTTCTTCTTCTTCTTCTTCTTCTTCTTCTGCTTCTTCTTCTCTTCCTCCTCCTCCCTCCTTTTCCTGCCCTCCGTCCTCCTCCTTCCTTTCTTCTTCTCTCCCTTTCCTTGTTCCCTTTTCCTTTCCTTCTCCTTTCCTTCTGCTTTCTTTCTTTTTCTCTTCTCTCCTTCTCGTTCTCCCGCTTTTCTTCTCCTCTTTTCCTCTTCCTTTCTTTGTCTCTCCTCCTCCTCTTCTCCCGCCCTTCGTCCTCTGTTATCCTTTTCCTCATCTCCTCCTCTGCTTCCTTGTTCTGGAGTGAAACACGAGCGGGCATCGTCACTGGCTATTGCGTTTGAGGACATGAACCCATAGGCGCCTTCCACTTCAGTCTCTGTCTGGACACGACATCGTATCAGATCCCGTTGGGGGTCCTGATCTTCTCGGTGCTGCTGCTTCTCCCGCTCCATCCGTCATCCGAAACGTCTCTCTTCCTGTTCTTGTGCTTAGCACAATCCTCTGGTCCGCTTCTCGGCCTCTGCCTTCTCTCGTCTTCTTCCTTCCCCCCCCCTCCCCCCTTCCCCCCTCCCCAATTGTCTTTCTCTCTTTCCCTTCTCTCTTCCTATGTCTCTTTTTTCTCTTTTCTTCGTTTAAAAGGGTGACGGCCTTTAGATATCATCTTGAACTAACCGGCCCCAGGTAGATTCAGAATTATTTTCACTTATCTGATTCCATTGGAATTCGAACTCAGGTCTTCTTTTTTTTTTTTTTTGTTTTGTTTTTGTTTTGGGAAGGTCTGTATTTCAACAGTCCTCCAGGTGCATTCTGACTGGGCTAATTTCCGCAGTTCCAAATCTGGAGGCGCCTGAGCACTCGGGAAAACTACCGTCTTCACCCAAATAGGACGGACGGACGGTTATTCTAGCTGTATTTGGGCAACGTTGAGTCTCGATACAGCTAATAATGACCGTACAGTTATTATAGCAGTATTTGGGGCAACGTTGAGTCTAGATACAGCAATGATGACCGGACCTTGTATTCGGGTGAACACGGTAGCCCGGTCAGGATGCACCTGGGCATCTGCGTGTGCAGGGGCACATAATGCACTTGCGCGCCTGCAAATTCGGGTGCAAATATCTGGAATTGGGCATATATTCCACATCCAGTTGCGTCAATGGTCCCTCTCACGAGTGAACGTTAAACCACCACTCCAACGGCCCCAGCACTGTTCGTTTTGCTTGTCATCAGCTACTGGACCAAAATCCACAGTCCCCAGGCCCGGTAGAGGTCTGTGGGGAAGGGTACTGCAACTATTTTTCCTCACGGCGGGCGGCTCTACAGATATCGGGCTCGGAAAGATGCAAAGCGTGGTTTGTCAAAATAGTTCCGGATGGAGAGTGGGGGTTTAAACCCAAAAAACCCTGCCAAAGAAAACCCTACCCAAAAAAAACCCAACCCTCAGAACCCTACTGAAAATAGCCTACTAAGAACACCCTACCCAAAAACCCTGCCACAAAAACCCTCACCCCAGAAAAGCTACCCCCAAAACCCTCCAAAGAAAAAACCTACCAAAAAGCCCTACTGAAAAGCCCTACCGAAAAGCTCTACCAGAAAAACCCTTAACCCAAAAACCCTACCCAAAAATACCCTACTAAAAAAACCCTACCCTAAAAAACCCTTACCCGAAAAACCTACCCTAAAGACCCTACTAACGGGATAGTTCCATAAGGTTTGTCTTGATGTTTCTGCAATACCACGTTATTTGGGCAGTCGTTACTGCTGAGGGGGGGTCGCTGATGTAATGGCGTAAGCTTCCGTTATGCTTATCATGGCCCGTGTGGGGTCTGCAGATATACCCCAGGGTTCAATGATGGAAGCTTATGCCAAATAACACTCTGTGTCATATAATAAGCTCTCAATCAAAAACACACTTGAACAAATGACTGCAAAAATAGCGATCGTTATCAAATCTTTTGAAATTCAGAGAAAGACACGAGCTCTTAGATTACCAAAAACATGCACGTTATATACAGTGTTACGATCACCTCATATTGATAAGAAGTGTAGAGAACAATTTGAAATGAAAATCCATAAAGAATTGATTGTCATACAGACAGAAACAAAACAATTACGTGAATTTGGCTTAAGCTCCCATGATTGAACCCTGGGGTAGATCTGCAGACCCCACACGGGCAGCGATCCCACCTCAGCAGTAACGACAGCTCGAATAACGTGGTATTGCAGAAGCATCAAGACAAACCTTATGGAACTATCCCATTAGTAGGGTTTTTAGGGTAGTTTTTTTGGGTAAGGGTTATTCAGCGCAGGGGTTTTTGAATAGGGTATTTTTGGGTGTTTTTTTTGGGTTAAGGGTTTTCTGGTAGGGCTGTTCGGTAGGGCATTTCAGCAGGTTTTTTTTGTAGGGTTTTGGGGGTAGCTTTTCTGGGGTGAGGGTTTTTGGGTAGGGTGTTCTTAGTAGGGTTTTTTCGGGTAGGGTTTTTATTGGTAGGGTTTTTTGGGTTTAAACCCCCACTCATCCGAAACTCTTTTGACAAACCACACTTTGCATCTGCCCAGCTCGATATCTGTAGAGCCGCACGCCGTGAGGAAAAATAGTTGCAGTACCCTTCCCCACAGAACCTCTACTGGGCCTGGGCACTGTGGATTTTGGCCCAGTAGCTGATGACAAGCAAAACGAACAGTGCTGGGCCTGTTGGAGTGGTGGTTTAACGTTCCCTCGTGAGAGGGACCATTGTGGATTCGAACCACTGACACAAGGATTTTCAGTCCTTTGCTCTAACCAACTGAGCAACCTAAATCACATGAAAGAAAAAAAAACGCTCTTGCGAGCGCGGCTCGCCAGCAGAGCAGAGCGGGCCCGAGTAGATTTGAACATGTACTTCCGTCCCCACCTCTGCACCTGTCTCTGTGCCTGCGTCCGCACCTGCCCCCATGCCCGTTTCTGTGTCTGTTGCCGTGCCTACCTTGATGTCTGTCACTGTGCCTGCTTTAGTCTTCATTCCCCCACGTGCTGCACTAACACCTTGTGGCCTCCTTTGTGAGATCACTGACACAATTACAGTTGGCTGTGAAAAGCATCGACTTTGTCGACATCACTACAACCGTATAATTTTTTGGGCCCGCTGTCGGCAGGGATGCCACCTGTATCCGGATTGTGAACATCCTCTACATTCAGATGCAGTATGTCCCATTTGTGCCTACGGGCGCTATAGCGAATGTGCACATTACTGTGATGGTGAACGCCCCACAATCGTCATGGCCTGCAACCAGAATGCCCTCGGGCATGCGTGCTTCAGATGTATGGTTGATGCTAGCCGCCCTGGCTCCTGCTGTGACGAAGTTGCTTACCTGAATGGTTTTCATCCTATAGATCAGCGGGAGGGCTGCTATCATTGCCCTCGTCCTTATGATAGTTGTCCTATCTGTCGTGAGGGTCAACTTAAATGTGCCTTGCAGCCTGAAAAAAATGTGCAGGTGCGCTGAAAAGAGTGTACAAGAATGTGCAAAGGTGGGAAACCCTTCACTAAAACTGCAAAACAGTGAAGAATGCAGTAAAAAAGAACATTAAGTTTGTGTCATGTTACTTCGTTTGCACCATGCACCCTAACACCCTCTAAGAAAAAGTCCGAAGGGTGAAAATGAGAATAAAAAGTGAAGAAGGAAGTGCAGGTGCGCTGAAAATCAAACGTGGTAGACTCTTCACCAAAACTGTGAAAGAAAGAAGAATGCAGTAAAAGAAAGAATATGTTTGTGTCACCTTTTTTTATTTTTTCTCCCTCTGCCTATCGATTTTCCTTTTCTGCTCCTCTCCTCCTTGTGTTTAACACCTCTTCTTTCACTCTGCCTCTTTCCCATAGTGTGCAAGTGGGCTGTCATGGCATACGGGGATGGGGGCAACTCGCGCTCAACTTCATCAACGTGGCAAGCCTTGTACGTTAGAGGCATGGTGGAGGAGGAGTTAAGAAGCGTGAGAAACTGAATGATTTCAATGTGTCTTTGTCTTTGATTTTGATCCTTTGTTCAGTGTATTTTTTTTTGTAAAACACAAAGAAATAAGAATACAGTGAAACAAAGAAGAAGAGGACACTATTTTGTGTCATTCTAGTTTGTCTGTCTCTTTGCCTGTATGTCCTTTCATTTTTCTTTTCTCCGCTCATCTTATTTCTTCTTCTACTTCATGTGCATATGCTCGTATTCAATAATTTTGTGACAGAGTTAAAGAAAGAAGAAGGGAAAAAAAAAGAAAAAAGTATAAATTGCCGAAGAAAGAAAACAAGAAAACAAGAAAAAATATGTTGATCTGTGGGATGTGTTATTTGCTTTGTGGCAATTGGATTATCTGTGGGATGTGTCATTTGCTTTCTTTGTTCTTTCCCTGTCATGTTTGGTTTCCTCCTTTTCCTTACCTCTTTGCCTTTTGGCTGCGTGCAAGTGGGTCCTTGTGACACATGGGGATGGGGGCAGCCAACGCTCAACCTGTCATCCACTTGGCTGGCCTTGTATGTAAGAGGTGATGAAC